GTAAAGGGTTGACCTCATTCAGGTTAGTATCAAATGAATGCTTCAGCCAAATCATATCATGTTAATTCTCTGAAATTTTCATCATACTTTCTATCTATCTATCTATCTATCTATCTATCTATCTATCTATCTATCTATCGTTCTGTTGCTCTATCATTCTATCTATCATTCTGTTGTTATATCATTCTATCTATTATTCTATCTGTCGTTTTATCATTCTGTTGTTCTGTCTACATCAAAATATTACTCTATCCATCTCTAGCCTCCCAAAACTTTTCACCACCTTAAGATAAATCCAGAAACTTGTCTTCAGTATGTTAGCTTTCTATTGTAAACAATACCACAGAAAAATCATGTTCCTAATTGTTATTTTTGTCTTGTTTTCTAGTAAAAATATCAAATAAGATGTATTTATTTTAAATAGATGTATACACTTGTTTTTATCGTTTATAGTTTCCTGAATCATCCTCTGAAAAGGATTAATATCTTATGAAGTGTTGCTTCTCAAGCAGCAAAAATTATCTTGTTTTTAGAAATTTTGACTGGAACACAAGTCAAAAACCGCAGTTATAAAGTCATTTTTTGTGGTGCCCTATCCACATTATTTGTCTATTTTTATTCATGAATTTCACAACACATCATTATACACATACTATTCAATATTTCTCTCCATGCGCCTATGTAAAATTAACCTCTCGCTGTCAAATCTGTCATAGGGCACTCTCTCTTTGTCAACTATATGCAAATCGGATGTAAACTTTCTGGGCAGGTGTTGTCATTCCAGGTGGTTGAGTAGCAAAGTGGAGGTTGCCCATGTGTGACTAAATCTTAAGTACTTTTGCTAGATATGTACACACACATTTTCATAAAGTCACTGGTTTAAAGTTTCATGCCATTTCATGGGGTCACAGACATTTAGAGTAGCATTTAACATGCATTATTACATTAAAGACATATCAGTATGAGGATTTTTTTTTTACATCGAACTTAAAAAAAAAAAGATTTCTGAGAAGGTAAAAAAATTATGTTTTTCAAACATTAAAATTTTTTATTTGACAAAATTCCATTTTTAGGCCTTTTAGATTTCCTACAGCCAACATTATGGTACAAAAAGTTATGGTAGTCTTATTAGCGTGCTCATCGTTAATGGAGAGGTGTAATATGCACTGTCCCAAAAAGCTGTATTTGATATTTTGTTTTAAAAGCATTGCGTGTTTTGCTTGAAATTTTGCATCACAGGCCTGGTTTCTTGACAGCTGAGGTATAAGGGCCAAGTATGTATATAGATGCACCATGCTGGGTCAACTGATTTTGAAGTTCACAGTGTCTAAAGCTTGAGTTTGACTGTTTAAGCTATTGATAAGTCACACATTAGGTAAATGTATGCCTCTTCATCACACATAGTCACCACTGATGCTGCTATAAGATGAATTGGTATGTGCGGAGTCCATTTATGGTTGACAGCTTACATGTCAACCATACTAGTAGGCTCGATTGTGAGTGTATTTGGCATGCACACACATACACAAACAATTTGCGCGATTGTAAATACGCACAATGTATGGCTTTATGGAGTGGCCTGAGGGTAATGCTGCTTACTCAGCGGCTGTTGCTCTGATTAATTGAATTTTATATTTAAAAAATCTCTCATTCTGCATGATTGATATATGCTTATCATTGCATCTCTACAGATTACAAACCATCGTATTTGTATAATGTCAATAAAACGCCTTAAAGTCAATTATTTACTTTGTGTGATTGGGACATTTGCAGTGCCTCATTGAGGCGAAACAAATTGTGAATTTTACATGTCGTAGGAAGCTAAATATGATAAGTGAGTATACTGTACTCACTGTGGGCTAAAGCACTCTGCTTCTATTCCAAGCCTTCAGGAGGTCACATGACATTCTATATGTTGTTCATTACCTCTTTACCGTATTGGTTGGCTGTCTGCGTAGAAAGCCATGGAATATGATAGGCACTCTCTGAGTGGATATTCCATCTCCCACTTTTTAGAAGAGACTGAAAATTGCATTAATGCGGTGCACTTTTCGATCCCATAGAAAAACCACAGAAAGCTGAAGCTCAATTTTAAAAAAAAGTCATTGCAGAGATTTACTATATGTATGTAGCTTACCAGGTCAGCATTTATTTGACCAAAACCTACTGTAAAAATGGTAATATAACTGTTTTCTATTTGATTATATTTTGAGAATATATTTGATGCAAAGCTGAAAGGGATAGTTCACCCAAAAATGAAAATTGTGTCATTAATTACTCACCCTCATGTTGTTCCAAACCCGTAAGACCTTCGTTCATCTTCAGAACACAAATTAAGATATTTTTGATGGAATCTGAGAGCTCTTTGACCCTCCCATAGACAGCAATGCAATTACCACGATCAACGTCCAGAACGTAGCAAGGAGATCGGTAAAATAATCCATGTGACATCAGGGGTTCAACCGTAATTTTACGAAGCTACGAGAATACTTTTTGTACGCAAAGAAAACAAAAATAATGACTTTATTAAACAATTCATCTCCTCCGCGTCACCCTGGCGCCATTTTTGAGAATATCCACTGAACGCAAACAGCGTATGCTGTTCTGTGTCAGCTGCGTCACACGGATAGGGGTTCAACCGTAATTTTACGAAGCTACGAGAATACTTTTTGTACGCAAAGAAAACAAAAATAATGACTTTATTAAACAATTCGTCTCCTCCGCGTCACCCTGGCACCATTTTTGAGAATATCCACTGAACGCAAACAGCGTATGCTGTTCTGTGTCAGCTGCGTCACTCGGATACGCCGTTTTCGTATCCGTAGATCTCAGAATGCATCAAAAATATCTTAATTTGTGTTCCGAAGATGAACGGAGGTCGTACGGGTTTAGAACGACATGAGGGTGAATAATTAAAGACACAATTTTCATTTTTGAGTGAACTATCCCTTTGATTTTCAGCATCATTACTCCAGTTACTCCAGTCAGTGTCACATGATCCTTCAGAAATCATTCTAACATGATGAGTTGATGCTTCAGAAACATTTCTTATTATTATCAATGTTGAAAACAGTTAAGTTGCTTTATATTTTTGTGGAAACCATGACATTATTTAAAATAAATTAAGACTTTAATTCAGCAAGGATGCATTCAGTTAATCTAAAGTGACAGTATGAAATGCTGTTCCTGAAAAAAAAATATATATATTTTCCCATTATTCTATTAATATTATGGCATCAGGAAATTTCGAAATCCCAAACCAGCACCTAAACAAGAAATAACTGAATACTGGAAATCAAACTTGATGACTTGAAATGGACACTGAAATTTAGAGATAGATGCCAGCCAGCTGGCCAAAATTACACTCCTTTTTAGTCATCAGCACAAAAGACATCTGTCGTTTTATTTATCCATCTGTAAGTCACACTACTCTTGACACAACAGCAAACTTAAGCTTTTGCTTGAGATTGGATATCATTCAATTGTCTTTATTTCTGATGAATGCAAGTGAGTGTATTAATACAGTGTGTGGGCCTTTTACGTCTCATGTTATCAACCACAGCCGATTTTGTAAAAATAGCCTAGGCTATATTGTTTTAAATTTTCATTTCAAGTTCATGATAATCACTGTTTGTGTTGCATTGTTTAAAAAGATTCGTCGATTTATTGCTTGTGTTATAAAAATAGATTTAGAATTGTACTAGAAATTTAGTGGCTTTTTTTCTTGAGCTTATGCAGTTCCCACCTCTTCGTACGAATACTAATAACACAGAATATCCTATCTTTCATCACAATATAATGATAGTAACATAATAATAATAGGCTAATAATAATGATGATGATAATAATAATAATAATAATAATAATAATAATAATAATTTGTATTATAAGAATTATTTTTTGCATATACGCTTAATGACGTTCTTCAAACATTAGACTAATTCAACCTGCGGACTGAATTGTGTGGTTTCCTCACAATACATCAATACCAAGGAAAAAACTAATTCTTCAAATTAATGTCTTGATTTATATTCATATATTAAACATTTTTAATGAAAGAGTTCAATAAAGCTTAGATAATCACACTCGCTCCACCAAATTATGTTTTTTTTTTTTTTATTATTATTATTATTTCAACTATGAAAATAACGTACAATAAATACATTTGAAATTTACTATTAAAGAATCTCAATAAATAAACTAGTTCTAAAATTATTCAATAGGGACAACGCCCGCCTTGGGAGAATTCCTAAAAGCAGTTTAACTACCCTTATGTCTGACACAATTCCTGAGATTCCAATGATTGAGTTTCACTGAAAAAGTCCGCAACCATTCATCTGTTAGTCGACATAAACTAAAATCCGAGAATCAAAAGGCAATAAAATACCTGAAACTTCGACAGGGGCCATCCCGATGTGTATTCAAAAAGATTACATCATCGTATTTTCAAAATAATGGACTATTTATTTCCTTTTAGGCATTGTTTCACGCCTTTTTTGTTAAAAAAAAACTGTTTAGGTAGATGTCTCTTTTCACTTTTTAATGTCTTATTATAGGAATGTTGCGGTCGAGAAGCATTCATGACACTGCAATTAGATGGAGTTCGATTGTTCTTGTATGCGTTGTGATGTCATAATAGTTCAGAACTGTAAATGCTGCAAATCTATAGTACAAAGGGTGCTCGTAAACAAGTCAAAATCTTCCTCAGAGAAGTCAACTGGACTGTCCAGTGAGCTCTGCAAACTCGGCGATAAAGCGTCCGAAATCTGTAGGCAGGAGTCCGTCGAAAAGAAATTCAAATCGGGTAGAGAGGTGGCATCCTGCGGCTCTGTGAACGAATGCTCCGGCCCAGCTGCTCGGCCCTCAGCCATTGTGCTGGGGTTATCTGCAGTAGGCGTTGGATACGGGGGGGAGTGAACCGCTGTGTCAGGGCAACCATTCATCTGTTAGTCGACATAAACTAAAATCCGAGAATCAAAAGGCAATAAAATACCTGAAACTTCGACAGGGGCCATCCCGATGTGTATTCAAAAAGATTACATCATCGTATTTTCAAAATAATGGACTATTTATTTCCTTTTAGGCATTGTTTCACGCCTTTTTTGTTAAAAAAAAACTGTTTAGGTAGATGTCTCTTTTCACTTTTTAATGTCTTATTATAGGAATGTTGCGGTCGAGAAGCATTCATGACACTGCAATTAGATGGAGTTCGATTGTTCTTGTATGCGTTGTGATGTCATAATAGTTCAGAACTGTAAATGCTGCAAATCTATAGTACAAAGGGTGCTCGTAAACAAGTCAAAATCTTCCTCGGAGAAGTCAACTGGACTGTCCAGTGAGCTCTGCAAACTCGGCGATAAAGCGTCCGAAATCTGTAGGCAGGAGTCCGTCGAAAAGAAATTCAAATCGGGTAGAGAGGTGGCATCCTGCGGCTCTGTGAACGAATGCTCCGGCCCAGCTGCTCGGCCCTCAGCCATTGTGCTGGGGTTATCTGCAGTAGGCGTTGGATACGGGGGGGAGTGAACCGCTGTGTCAGGAACAGATGCAGGCTCCGACTGGTTCGCCTGGCCATCTTCAGGCGTGGGCTGGCTTTTGTCCGCACTGTTCGTGTAGGAGGCACCTGTCGGGCAAGTCTCACTCTCGGAGGCTGCTGCAGAACCGGAGCCAGAACCAGATACTTCCAACGATTGGCTCGAATATGGTGAAGCAGCGTCGGTTCCCTCCAGGAGTTCAAAACCGCTGGGCTCGCCTTCTTGCCCGTCCCGGTGGTGCGTAGTTTGTCTTTTGTGCTTCATGCGTCGATTTTGAAACCACACTTTGACTTGGCGCTCGGTTAGATCCAAAAGTGCTGCTATTTCAACGCGCCGGGGCCGACAGAGGTATTTGTTAAAGTGAAACTCCTTCTCCAATTCAAGTAGCTGCGTGTTGGTGTATGCGGTCCTCAGCCTCCGTGAACCGCTGCCATTATCCAGTCCACCTTGAGCCTCTGCAAGAATCAAAACAGAAATAAGTCCCATACAAAAGGCGAAGTCATCGAACTTCATGCGAGAAATTGTCCAGATGACAATAAAATCCCAGTGTAGAACAGCCCTGTGGTTTGGGCTTGTCATGTAGCAATGACTGCAATGGTTAGGCATGTCTTGTAGTAATAGACCAGCGTGGTGTACAAGCGTTATTTCAGCAAGCCCCATATTTTGTTGCGTTCCACAGCTTTCACAATATATACTGTTATCCAAAATGGCTCCCCAAGCTGTGAAACGTGGTTATGAATAAATATCGAGTCTCAGCTGACATCAATTGCGATTAAATCGTTATTATAGATCAAGATCTACTATCTGCAGGATGGCAACGTAATCTTTCAGAATGTGCACAGTTTTGTATATGTGCCAAGAAATGGGGGAGGGGATGGCTTTTTATCTTTTAAAGACATTACTGGGACAATTGCGTAAAAATTCCAAGCATGTGAAATCACACTGTAATAATTCTGTTTAGGCTATAATAACAGGCAATTAAATTCTATAGAGTTTCAGCTACATTGCCATCTATTCGAGTCACGAATCATTCAGGGGAAAATGTCCAAAATGCAGAACAAACGCGTTCACTGCTTTGATAAACGTACCTGTCGGGGACTCCAGTCCCGCGGTTGTGTAGCCGGAGGATGCCTGAGAAGGGGAGGCTGCTGCTGCAGCAGCAGTGGCTCCGGGCTTGGGGCACTTCTTCGAGGATTTTTTCTCTTTCATCCATGGGAACTCGTGGGCCAGGGGCGCGCCACCCGACAGCAGGGCCGGGTCTTGCTGGTGCTGCGTCGGCGGTGCTGTTTGTGTCCGGAGCTGGAGGCCATTGGAGGCTGTTCGCTTTTGGCTCCTCGGTCGCGCCTGGTTGCCTGTGCAGGGACTCAGACTAGGGATGGTGTGCTCGAAAGGAGGTGGAATTGCTGTCGAGTCCTTGATTGATGAAGTTTGAAATGACTCCAGGACAGCGGGGAAAGACGTCAGGCACTCTGCAAGGGAAGGCTGGCTGTTGATGAACCCAATCTCCCTCTCAAATTCAAAATTCATCGCTTCGCCTGGGCAAAAAGGGTGTCCAGCGACACCAACATACGCAAAAAATAACATCCAAAAGGCTAGGATTTATTTTGCGTTCCTGCTATGACGGCATTTGCGGGCTTTAATAATTGTGTATATTGGTGATATTACTAGCGTATGGGGACCAGGGTCTACTAAACTGAAGACTATGGGCGAAATTGCAGCCAATTCCTGGTCACATGACTCATCTCAGCCAATCGAAATTCGGGGCCTGGTGGCAAAAGAAAGCAATATTTGTCTGAATTGATAAAATACAGCAGGATATTATAATTCAGTTCTTATTGTAACACGGACGAAATAATAATTTAAAAAAGGCTCTCGGCTGCCATGTGTTCGGACAGTCCTGTTTTGTCGTGAGAGGTAAAGTGCAGGCCTCTTATGTTAGACAATAACAATCCAAATGCAGAACTACCGGTGATGTAATTCACAGGCCTTGCCTGATAAGGACATCCACAATATGGCTTCTTGCGTATTTACAATCAAGGGTCATTAATCTTAAAACTTTTGACAAGACTAACAGACAAGAGATGTAGGTCTAGAAATATTTCATTTATCAAGCACATAAATAAGGATGTACAAGAGTGATGGTGAGATTGTCTGCCACATTTGCCGAATAGGACATTCCCAGCTATTACAATACAAATAAATTATTTTGAGGTTTACCTTTAATTAGATTTTTTTATAAACACAGCCTCTGAAGAATTGCTGAAAACTGGGACCTTAAAGCGCGTAAGTTTGCACTAAATCCAGGTCAGAGAATTGTTAAATAACATTTCTGTAAATATTTTGCTTATTTTTTAAAATTAAGGTGCAGATGACACGTATAATACCGCACGAAAAATAGTTGTTAGCGGTGTGTGTGAAACATTTGTTGACTGTGAAAACAACCAAAAGTTCATCGTGAGGTCGCGTTCAGAATGGAAATGGCTTATGTGTTGACTTGAATTTCTATTGCACCTTGGACGAAGAAAGCGACAATATAATGTTAGTTGATGAAAAACTAAGCAAAATTGGTTGCGTCAAAGTTTAAAACGAATGGGAAAAGGGGGTAGATATTTTTAGAGCAGGGGTAGAGAGGCAGCAAGGGTGATCAATCTTTTCGCCGGCAAAGCGCTTGACAGCAGCCACCCTCAAGAATTCGCCTTTTTCCTCCAAGATCACAACAAAGAAAACCCCCATTATTCCCTCTTAGATATGTGGATTTTTTCCCCAGAATTATTTTTTTCTGCATTGGATACATTCTATTGGCGCGTCGCATCGATAGGATTAGAGATTAATACTAAACTGTGTTGCAGCCAGCTATCATCTGAATTTGACTTCACAGTATTTCGGATTTGCAGCCCGAGCTTCGTTTCGTCGTTTTTCTCGTCTAAAAGAACAGTGGAAACAGATAGGCTGTGTAACCCTGTGTGGGTGTCTGGGAATTTTAAAGGAAATACAAAACAAGCTTGTAGGCCGTGGGCACTTCGGAAAGGGGTCGATCTAAAAGGCCCTCCTTACAGAACGGAGCTGACTGGGATGCACTAATAATCTCTCTTTTTATTTATTGTTTGTGCGTTTTTATGTTACTTTTTCGGACAGTACTAGCATAAAAAATGTCAAGTGATCCTTTTTTCAACTGGATTTTTTTTTCACTGGAAAATAATGATAATATTCTGGGACGAATTGAACAACTATTTGCGTTAAATGCTTAAAATGATTTATATCATCTGAGGACAGCGGGTTTTAATTAATTTATTTAGATATATCCTATGTTGTAATTATCTCTATCTATCTATCTATCTATCTATCATCTATCTATCTATCTATCTATCTAAAATGCATGAAAAAGTAAGAATATTTGACTGTTTGATACCTTTGATACCGTTCGTAGACTACCTTCATGTGACTGTATATTTTCTGTGTATTTAGTTAAAATGCAAACATTTTCTTCTTGTGCCCTTTTTTATTCTGATAATAGCTTTAATGTTTTATTATATATTTAGACACATTAAGGTAGTATAAATGTCTGTAACCGTATAAAACGTTTAATCAAACACATGTTGAGAAAATCAGAGGTAAACGCAAACCGCTAAACGCCGCGTTGGTGTAGTTTATTTTTTGTGCATGCCATGGAAATTATTTCATGTTATCGCTGTTGTTGTAATATTTGTTTATTTTGTATTCACGCGGTTCCGAATGTCTTTGTCTAGATTTGTTTAAAGCTTGGGCATGCTAAAATCAAATCTGTTGTTAATAAATGAGCACAGACAGCAACGCAGCTCTTTTTTCCCCCTCCAATAATCGATGGAGATCCAACAAGCAAAAATATGATTAGTCATCTATTATCTGTATCTTTCTTCTTTAAACTTGAGATTATTTGTATTCATTTGTTTTAATTCCATAACCAGTAAGAAGAGTGTTCGACGATTTTATTGGACTCCCTTCACGTGACCATTGCAGGCGCGGCCTCCAGTGCTCTTTCACAGGCCTTGAGGGACCCCCACCCCCACCCCCTTCAGTCTTTGCCTGTATATTCGTGTGAGTCTGTTTGGTAAACTCATGAACTTCTAGAGTGGAAATTAATAACATAACATTTTATTAAAGAATTGTTCAACAACCAACTCTTAACAAGGAAATAAAAGTAGTTACAAAGGACAAATGAAGTTCTCAAAATGTTTCGCTATATTTCGTCTAAATCTCGACTATGCGGGAACGGTTTGATTCCGTTCTTGCGCCCCCTGTATAAGTCAAGACATTATTTATACAAGGATAGCATAAACCTACATATCTCTAAAATACAAGAACTAAAAATTAATTTGTTACAATGACAAGAACACAGCGTCTTTTTTATAACAGGTAGATACTAAAAAAGTACATTTTTATCGATATAAATACATGGGGATAAATAATACAAAAAAGAAAGTATTTAAACTGGCTATAACAAATAAATATATATTTATGAATGTTCACTTGAACACACTTAGCGAAAGACGCTGATTGAAGGTCTTCCGATTCAAAATAAGATTTACTTTTCTTCCTCACCCATTAAATGTAAACTCTAAGTGCAACAATGATGCCCAGACGAGAGCGCATTAGGCGTAAACAAAGACGTCTGCGCCGTAGCTTGGTTTCCCGGACATGCATTTTTGTTCAAACATACCCTGTTTCCACGTTAAGTCAAGAAATGAGAAAATGTGGGCCTTTCTTATTAGTTTGGACTAATGTAGGCGAACCCAAAGATTGGGAAAGATAAAGAACTGGGGAAGGAGTATGAGGGAGAGGGAGGGGCAGCGAGTTGAGAACGAGGGAATGAACTTTAATTTACTAGTATTCTCAACTCTTCTCTTTTACCCTGTCAAAGCCATAACAAAATTCTATTCACTTCTCATTAATAGTGATAGGTAGCATAGTGTAAAACGGACTTAAAAGAGATGAATATCTTGATCACCATGTCTTGCTAAAGACAAGGTGCCAGTCTACTGCTGTTTTTGGGAACAAGTTAATAAAAAAATCGACTGGTTTTTTGAGACATTTAAAAAAAGAGGTATGTGAAATAAGGGTGGTGGACGAAAACAATCCAGTGGTTTTCTTGCACCAGTAAGTTTAAATGTAAGCTATACCGTACCTGCCCTCCAAAGTGTGAGGAATGCAGCGATAATGCTGAAGAAGTACACAAACATTTAGGATGATGTAATGAGGTCATACAGCTAGACAGTCTATTCCTTGGCATAAACTAGCCACTGTTCATGAAGTGTGTCATTTTAAAGGGGTATTTAGACCTATGGATACTAAATTCAGGTATGTTCACGTATGAATGGAAGGACAACATTGACACAAACCGGTGCTCTAGTCATGGCAAGAAACCACTGGATCATCTTTTTCAACCCCATTGCATCGCCCCATGGGTTAGTCTGTTTCGTCTTGTCTTCCTTTCATTTTTTTCTTTATTTTTCCTGTTTTTTTTATTTTTTTGTCCAAACCTGCTACAGATGAGTCAACTTGGGTGCTTCTTGGATTCTACCCTGAGAAGGATGGTGTGCAGACAGATCCGTGTATGTCGGATGTGGGTCACACGGTCCATGGTGCTGGTTCGCCGGCATCTGTGTGGCACCGTTGTAGTCCATGCTTGCCGACTGGTGGTGTGGTAGGTGATTGAGGCCATACATAGAAGGCCCAGTGGCAGGCATGGCATCAACATAGCTACCTCCCACATACACGGGGCTACCCTGCATGTTTGGTGTCCCGTAGGTGCCACTGTTACCCTGTAGCCCGTGTGGGTCATAATCCGGTGCAGTGTTTCCATACTTCTGTTGGGGGGGGCAACCTTTCATTGGGTTCTGATAGGCTGTTGACATGGCGTATGCATTTTGATGGGGCTTGTTAAAAGATGGTGGGGAGGGAGCATCATAACTGCCCATTGAGTGCATAGAGTTCATGAAACCAGCTGAGGACTGCATTGGGAGAGGTGGGCTTCCTGTGGGGGACGGCCCCCCTGAGGACGAGCCGATGCCTTTCAACTTTTGATCCTTCTTGTACTTCATCCGCCTGTTCTGGAACCAAATCTTGATCTGCCGCTCGCTAAGGTTGAGCAGATTGGCCATCTCCACGCGCCTCGGCCGACACAGGTATCGGTTGAAGTGAAACTCCTTCTCGAGCTCCACCAGCTGAGCGCTGGTGTAAGCGGTGCGTGCTCTCTTGGAAGCTGCAGAACCCGGAGGGCTTTTCTCACCACCGCTGCTCTCCGCTGGGGTGAGAATGAAATAAAACATAATTACTCCACACGGAAATTGAATGCATCGTTCCCACTAATAAAGCCGGCCATGAAAAACTTATCCCCCTGATATTGGTTGTCAACACTTCATAACTTTGGCATTTATTAAGAGACGCATGCCCTAACATTGACCTTGTGTATGTAAATCATATTACAACTAAAGCCCAGGGCCAGATTCATACTGTGCACTAGGCAACGGTGTGTTTGCTACGTGGTTTGTCTTTTGAATGGTTTACAGGGAGGATTAAGACGATAGAAACCTCTACATGCAGATTCAGAGGCTTGTGGGATAAATCTTCTGTTATCTGGACACGATAATTATGTATGACAAGTGATGTGGCATTGCTGCTATCTAAAATCTGAACAATAATCCTTGTGTACTGATTTTTTTAAAATCTTTCATAGTCAGAAATATTCAGAGTGTGTAATCATATAATCATCACAATTCTGAGAATTATTTTGGTTGTACAATACATTGAAATAGATCGGCCTGTCCCCTTGTTAAACATCCAATCG